ATTCCGTCGGGCTATCATAGCCACAGGTTCAAAAGTAGTCGGATCACCAGTTAAAAGAGTCTTACGATTTGCTTCACGGCGAACATATGCATATGTGCGTTCAAGATCCAAACTTGGATCCATACGAAGGATTTCTCCTCTCACTTGATCAAAATCAGCATCAAGTCCATTCAAAAAAATGTGGATTCTCAATTTTTCAATGGCTGCCTGATACATAATGATATCATCTGGATCCTTCATCTTGACTTTGTCACGATGATCAAGTTCTTGGAATATTCCAACAAGTTCACCATAATAAGTTGGAAGAGATCGACCTGATTATCGAATTGAGAATGCACGTTGGTTAAGGGCAAAGATTTGTGTTTCATTAGATCCATCATAGAATGCTTTAGCAAGTGCACTCCAGATTTCACGAGCCGTACGAAGACAAATATACCTTTTCATGATTTCTGGTGTCATTGATGTGAGCAACCAGCCTTTAACTTTTTGGTTTTCGGCATACCACTTGGAGTAAGAAGGATCATTCGATTCAAGTTGAGGAGAGTCCCCAATAATATAATCAAGTTTCTCACGTCCAACAATATGCATTTCAATGATTTGAGACCAAGTGTCATAGTTGGTTTCGGTAAGGGTTATAGCAGCGTTGAAGCCAAAATTTTCAGATTGAACATGAATAATAGGAGAGGATGGTGCAAAGGTTGATTTGGAGGATTCGGTTGCTTCGGAAGACATATTGTATGATTCAAATTGAAGAAGTTTTTATATTTATGCAGTATGCTCTGATACCATAATGCATTTCAGAACATAATTTTCTGTGTATTATTTACTGTCTATACGAGTACATGGCCCTTTTAATGACATCTTTACAACTTGTTCCTAAAGTCTAGGAAACAAATATGGAAGGAAATAATTACAAGAGATATTATCGAATCAACTAATTAGGAGATAATCAATCAACGTAATCTAACGTAATCTTCTACAGTTTCCATTGATTTACAAGATGTCTTCCTCCTTAAAAGTATCTAGTTTCTATGCAATAACTATAATAGTAACTGCTGAATGGGATTTAATTTTTCTTAAATTATACATTTTTATCCCTAGAAATCTCGTAAAAATATCTCTTATAATATATTCTTAACAAACTTTGACATGTTTTATTCGACTTATATATGATTCACCTCTATATTTATTATTCTTGTTATATTATCCAAATTAGTTTTTTATAATAAATGATAAATGGAAAGTTCAAAGTCACTACATCAGAACATGAATAAAAATTGTACAAGTCACTCAAACAAATGTTTATGCAATTTCTTCTTACTTACAAACTTATTTTGTACAAACCCACCTTTCATAATAATAATGAAGAATGAAACACACCCTATTTATTGACAATTTCTCATCGAGTGCATGCTTAGTACGTGGACTGAACATGACAAGACACTACATTGAAAACTATATTAACTTATATTTTTACATTAATAATGTTCACTACCATCTCATCCTCCCAACATGCCATGAGACTTTTTATCACAGAAAGCATCTTTTTTAGATTCAAAAAAGAAAGGAAAAAATGGCCCATGTTTTGTTAAAATTACAGATATGTGCATTGAAACCCAAAACGAGATTCGAGGAATGAGCAACTCTATATTGATTGCTCAATGCCCTGAAAAATACACCCTTCCAATCTTATGTACATTTTTATTCACATGAAAAATCATAACCTTGCATGATTTTTTGTTTATGCTTGGAGGACCTTTTTTGATACACATCATTAGGGTTTTGATTTTCCATAATTGATGTCATACTTGTGAGTCTTCTTGCAGAAGAGGGACCTTGTCATCTGATGGTGTTCTGTTTTTGTGAAACTCATCGTCCTCTCTGATTTGTCCCCAAATCACAGTGTAATATCCTACTCCACACACGAATGAACCCATCATGCTGCATAAATAAGCACCATATGAGATATAAATCTATTAAATACAGTTTTTCTTATCGTTTCGACTTTTTAACAGTAGAAAAAAAAATATTCATAGACAGCATCATATATATATTGACATTGTAGCGATAGTAGCAATTTCATTGACATTGTAGCAATAGTAGCAATTTCCTTTGTCTGCAACATGTTTAGGTGCATTTGGCTTAACAGACACTAAAATGACGAGAAGAAACGCATGGCAATGAACAGTAGTAAGAAAAGAATTAAGTCATGGCTTGAATAGATCTAAAAGGACTTCTGTTCATATGAGTGATATGATCCTCTAAATTCATGGTAAGTTGTAGTTGATAATTGTAATGGATCAACTTACTTCGGAATTTCCAGTGCATCTAACAATAAACCGAATAGAGTGATGAAAAAATAATCCATTTAATAGTTTCAAATTTATTGTGAACAAGGCTTATCTGTCGTCTCAATTTGGACTGGAAAGTATCTTCAAATAGAAGAGAAACTTTTACCTTCCGTAGTGAAAGGTATCTGCAAAGAGTAAACATCCAAATGTACTTGCAATGGGAATTCCTAGTGGCTTAAATATGGGCACAAAATAAGGGCCTTTAATTCGCATGCACCATATGTGGACACTGCTACGGATCAAACTACTGAAAATTGCCTGTAATATATACATACACATGTTAGCTGTATCTATACTCATCTTTTGACATGGAAAAATCAATTATAAATTCAAAATTAGACATATTCTTACTGTTAGAATGATTACAAAGAGCTCCAAGTTAAGCTCCAATGTCCATGCAGTGGGATCTCTTTCTTTAAATGCAGCAAGTGCAGCAGATTGGATTGTTCCGAATAAGCTATAAAAAGAGATTATTTTCATCACTTGTGGGTATATTTTGACAGTTCCCACCTGACTCGAGAATAAGAGGAAAATTGGAATAATCTGATCAAACGTTGAAGTTTAAATTTAAACAATTTAACTTTTCACAAGGCGAATTTTGACATGGTAAATGTTTTAATTTCAAATCTCATTGCCATCCATTAATTTGTGAAATTTGTGAGTACTACATGTATTTCGATAGAAAAAAATGGATATCTGAAGGGCTCGTTGAATATTAAATTTATAGAAAAAAGTGTTCATTCTCTAGTCTTATAAATTTTTAGCTGAGACAATTGAACATTTTATTATTATAAAGATAAAAATATTGAATTTAAGCGTCGTTGTCATTCATTTATGCAAACGGTGCTTGTGTCAAGCTTCAATAATAATTAAAAAAAAAAAAAAAAACTGGCGTACATACACGGATCATGATAAAAAATAAATTAAAATAAACAAATGAATGAATGAATCTAATTTCTAGCTATTTAAACTTTAATATATGACCGTTCAACAATTTAAACTTCCATTTGAGGAAGAAGTTGACAAAAAAAAAAAAAAAATTGAGAACCTCAAGAGTAAATGGGTTTATACCTGGATAATATTCCATATCGAAAGAGCTAGTGAAGAAGCTGCAAGCAAAATGCAACCAAGAACCCAATTTTCATGGGTTGACAAGAAGACAAAAAGGTGTTGCTGTGGTGCCGCCGTGGACTGAAGAGATAGTGCCGGAGATGAATGATTCTTAATGGTAGGACCCCTGTAGAGAGTGAGTGATGTTGCTCCCATAATCGATATGCAGGTGCCAATTAATCTTGCTTGGCTGCCGGAGCTTTTCCAATTGAATTTTGTTGTCCTAAAGAACGACACAATTATTATTAGTATAATTGTTATGGATTAAATTATATTTCCTACTTTTTCAGAAGAATAAAAAAAATTAAGCAATAAGACAACGAGCAAAATACACAAAAATTTATACTGGTTCATGTTCATTGTAAAAATTATGTTCATTCCTTTCGATAGATTATCACTATATATTAAAAATAAAATAAAAATTATTCCTCTCATCTCTTTTGCATATACAAACACAACACCTATTCGACCTTACTCTAAAGGCTGAGGGATTGAAAGATAAGTATACAATATGATCATTAATCCACATAGCACGACAATAATCTCCAACTATTATATGAGTAACCCAAAAAATTAAACGCGCTATAAATTTTTAGACTAAGAATCGGAACTTGTAATAATGCAAATCGAGAACATTTGGTAAGGTTGGCCTAATAATATTTTTTTTCTTTTATTCGCTTAAAAATCCAGAACAAAACTTTGACTTTGGTGATGCAGTTAGGAATATTCCTAGTTAATTAACTTGAAGAAGTATCAATTATCCAATAAAAGATAATCTCTCTTGGTGCATTTAAGCACCAATTAATCCAGTTCTCGATTAATTAAACTAATTAACTGCTGTAAATTGTGACCTTATTTGCTGTATTTGAGATAATAATAATAAATTGTGTCGTGGAATTTTTATTCAAATCCTAAATAAATAATTCCGTGGTCATATTGTATTTCCTTTTCTTTCAAAGTTTTAGAGTCAGCATTAGTACAAGTGAAGACAGCTTTAACATCTTAAACTTTTAGTCGATTTTAAAAGATAATTAAAACTACACATTCGTTATTTCAAATAGAAAGATGAATTCACCTTCCACACGACGAGCTTGAATAAATTTGTATGTACTCGAAGATTTCAAGTTTGAGAAAGAACCTGAGAATCAAAGCAAGAAGGAACGATAAAGCAGGTGATATATTGGCCATGCCAATTGCAACAATTGGAGAGCTGTAACTTAGACCAAGAAATGCAAGGTTTTGTGCCATTGTCACCCTGCAAATTTAGTTCCACCAAAATATTAAATTATAATTAGTCGAACTTATTGATCATCGTATCATTAACATGATACATAATAGGCGCAAAAACAAAGAATAGATGAAAATAGTCCGTATTGTATATCGAATATGAGAGAGAACAAACCCGATTAAACCAAGGAAGAATAATCGCAAGAGAAATGGTAAGGTCACTATTGGCATTTCCAATCTGCAAAGAGAGAAATCTTGACATGAATTGACTAGCTAGGCACTAGTTAAAGCTTTAAGCATGCATACAATTGTGTGTTTGAAAAAAATGATCGGTCTCATCGATCTCATACTAAATCCCATCAAACGAAATCATCATTTCAAGAAATGTGAGATATCTAATCCTACGTGAATAAGAGAGATATCGTACGTATTTCGATCATAAAAGAAGGAATACAGAAGTAGTACGATAGAACCAATGGCATTAGTGTAGACAACAAAGACAAAAGGGCTCAGCCCTTTTGCCATCGCGGTGCTAGCCAATATAGTCAAGCCAATAGTGCAACCCTCCACCATCACCATTGCTGTAGACGGCACAAATTCGCCTAAAATCGACGTGAAACCCATCTCGCCGCTTCCGTCTCTCTCTGAATATTGTTTCTGTCTCATCCTCCCTCATTAAATATTGGAGCATTAATCTTCCTACTAATTTTTAAAAGGGGGGAGAGAGAAAAGAAATTGATCGTAACCCTTCATGGAAAGGTTAAGCTACTTGGGTGAGAATAAGCAACTCGAGTGTCCCATGCAGAGCAAAAGAAGGCAATAAATCATATTTCTATTTTTTACATTTTCCAGTCATGTCTTGGACAAAACTTGTACACATGTTCTCCTACTATTTGTCCCTAATGAATTAAATAATCCTGGTTTATTAATTTTTTTATGACTAATATATTAAAATTTCATCATCAACAAGTACCTATATAATTTGATTTTCAAAAATAATTAAGCACAATTTGTGTCAAACTGCATAACTATTGTATACATACTACCTTATAAGACCGAACATGCATAAATAAAATAAGAAACTTTTCAAATGATTTTTCATATATATGCGTGCGCACGAGTGCGAACACAATTTTCATAAACGTGTGATGATGAAACTTTAATTCCGAGACTTTCATATATTTTTATACTTTGTTAAACTATTTCATCTTCGTAGAGACGGCTTTTTATGTTTCTAAATCGAAGATCTAGTACCATGGCTCAACACCT